ACCACTCGGTACCGGTACTGGCCGGTGCCTCGCGTACCGCTGGCACGGCAACTCTCTCAACCCTGCCCCTCAGAGTTTCCTCCAAGATATCTTCCATCAGCCTCATGTTCATGAGCTCTTTTTAGCACCCGAAACCCCCAAAACTGAGATATCTGCCGCGGGGTGCCTGATGTTGTTCTGCGCTCGCCGGCGCCTTTCTTCCAGACAGCCAGCCTTGAAACAAGCGAAGGATGAAAGCTCATGCCTCGTGCATTCCTCTCTAGTTCAGGACAACTGAAGCTGCCTTGGTGCCCTATTGGTGACCACGTCCAAGCACACCCTAGCGCCTCCGGCCTCCACCAGCAAAACCAGTCAAGGGGGGGGGGGAATGGGTCACCGGGTGCCTTGAGCGGGTCCCAAGAACCGACTTTGGACGCCTTTTTGGGTGGTTCTGGCAAGTCCAACGTAATTTAATTTCGTTGGACTTGAGAATTCAGGGCCGAAAACCCGAGCCAGGTGCAGACGTACGTTTGCTGCAAGGAAGGGTTACCAGCGGGATCCCGGATCCCGCCATCACTCGGTCCCCCACAGCAACGTACTGGGTCTGAAAACAACACCAGTCCCGTCTTCCTGGTGCAAAAACCCTACGTTATATTTCTATTAGAAATATGGTAACGTCCTATTAAGGGAGGTCGAAACCGGCCGAAACAAGCCCAGAAACCTCACACACAGACCCAGGTGGACCACCATATGTAAGCCCGCTGCATCTGCGACGGGCACCGAGGAGGCATGGGCCTCACAGCGCAAACATCGCAAAGGAAGGTCATCATCGCTGGAACGGAACGCTGGAACTGCACTGAATGTCACTGGAACGGAACGCTGGAACTGCACTGAATGTTGCTCCAGACTGCAGACGTTGGTGCGCACTCACTCTTCATTGGAATTTTCCGTGCTGTCCCCTCTTACATCTGCACACTTGGACTTGCGACTCGTCTGGCAGCGTGACCCGAAGCTGCGAACTATAACTGTCTAGTCCACAGCATATAATGCTCACTACCACGCACGCGGCTCGACCTGTCTGCGCAAGTCTGTGGCTGATAAAAACCACGATAGACGGAGCAGTAAGCTTCAATCAGTGACTCCGACGAAGACGATCGTAGGCACTCGTCGTAGGGCCCAGGCCCAGTCTTCCAGCTGCAAAGGTCCCAACTGATGGCCTAGAACTCTAGTCAACATGCTAGCGTCAAAAACTAGTCTGGGCTGGCCGCAGCTGTGCACTGGGGGCCTCTGCTGTTAAAGCCTTACGGTGACTGCGGGTGCGCAGAGCATCTTGGAGGGAGCAGTGCAACTAACCCAGTCAGTGGCCACTGATATGACGGCACGCCGTCGAAAGAGGCACAGACAGACCTCAGAGAGAGACAGAGAGAGACATAGAGATCAGACAGAGGGAAAGAATGCGCCGTCGCGGCACATGTAATTTCCTATATGCACCCTCGCGGTGCGCTGCCTACTTCCTTGCTCCTGCGCCGTCGCGGCGCATGATTTTGTTTCTTGCCCCTGCGCCGTCGCGGCGCATCTTCTCTGCTTCTGCGCCATCGTGGCACATCTTCGCTGCCTGTTTCTGCGCCATCGCGGCGCAACCGCCGTCGTTGTTGTCGTCAGCGTCGGCGTCGTCGTCGTCGTCTTGCGCCATCGCGGCGCATTTTCTTTGGCGCCTTCGCGGCACCGTCTGATCTCCTTCGCCTTGTCGCCGAGCTTGCCTGCGGGGCCCTGAAAGGTACGCGGGGTATGGGGATTAGGGCTTCGGGTTGGGGGTTCGGGGTTCAAGGCTTACGTAAGGGAGGGTTTAGAGCCTACTTTGGGGATTAGGGCTTTTGGGTTGTGGTGTCTTAGCGGGGTGGAATCTAGTCTAGCTGTTACTAGAACTGTTCTAGGCTTGGGTGTGAGATGTACTAGATACCGACCTAGTACTATAATAGTTCCTACGCTCCTGCAACAATGGGCCTACATCTCGAACGTCGTACAAGAAGCTTCTTCTTGTAATTAGAATAGGGCCCTCAAACCACATGGCATGACATGTTCGCAGCTGCAGAAACACATGTGAAACTCAATGAACAACCATGAAAATGTTCTGTCTCTGACATGAACGGTGCCATGATATTTGATGTGGTCCCACGAAATACAAACCCATGATTTCGATGTGTTGAGTACCTGAAATATTTCAAAGAGGCTTGCTCGAAAACTTGTCCAGATTTTTGAAACCATCAATAGTGTTTTTATTTTGACAACATACATACTCTAAACGACTTGAATTTCTATCCACTTGCCACCGGCTATCTGTTTCTACTTTGGGCTACAAAACAACTCAGGTTTTTTCCGGTCACAAACTTCATTCAGGACACCTTCAGCTCTGAGTTTCACCTGACCTAGGGCTGCCCGCCGAAGATTTTTGTTGCACCTTTGGCCGGCCCTTTCGAAGGCGAAACACACCAGGATTTAAAAAAATCCTTTAACAAAAGGCAAGGTGTCCAATGACGGCGGTTGCTTGAGCGGGTTGCTTGCCTGCGGCACTGGTCTTCGCACTCCTTATCTGGAAGCCGCCCACGCATGCAGTGGGCCTTGGACTTTTGGATTTTGGTGTGCACGATCGTGACGGAACAAAACGCAGGGGTTGTCCGTTGTCTGGCGAGACTAGAACGGCAGCCGGAGCCTGGACTTGGCTCCACCTGTTGTTTTGGGCAGCTCTGAGCGACGGCTCTTTGTTGCTCCTGACCGGTCGCTGAGGCTCCGTAGTTTGTGCTGAACGGCTAACACCGGCAAAGCCTGTGCACCGCAGCCCTTTGTAGAGCTTCGCTTTGCTGTTTCACCGCTTGTTGTAGTTTGATGTTTAGATTGTAGTTTCGCTTGTTTGTAGGGACCGAGTGCTACAGCCGTAGTCGACGAGGCCCAGTCAAGCCAAAAAAACGTGAAAGTTCTTTGTCTGCCTTGCTTTCGAAAACTGGAATAACTTGTGCAGCCTGTGGGCACAAGCACAGACTTTGGTCCTGCGGACCGGAAAAAACCAGTGGCGGTCCTTAGACTAAATTACGCGCGGCAACCTAAGAAGTCCAGCTTTCCACGATGGGGTATTGCACTTTACTTTTTACTTTTTTTTTAACGCTTGAATTACGCATACCAGAAGAACAACCTGTGAAAGTTGGCAAAAGTGCAAAATCCGGGATTGCTTGATTTTTGATAACTGCACTTAAATTGACAATTGTTTGTTTTTCAAGGTTGTTGCAAGGTGGCAGTTTGTTGTTTTACAATTTTTTCGCAAAGTTTTTGACAATTTTTGTTTTCTTTACCGTTGGAAAAAATGATAACGTTGTTTCGCCTGATGGATGTTATCTCTTCTTTCGTTTATGATTTTGTTAGTATGTAAAAAAAATTAAAAACGGCATTTTTGGGTGGTCGACAAAGCAGCTGGGGACTGAACCACGGGGGTGTGTTCTTGTGCACGGCCTGGACCCGCGGGCAAAATTTGGCTCCAGTTGCATAATTCAGAATTTTTTTTGGGGGCTTGATCTAGGTTCTTACAAACCAAACAAACCAACATAACAAAAACAGCTGAAACAGAGCGGCTCGACTGGAAGGGGCAAAAGCTTGCAAGAAATGGACGCTACAACGCATGTATGTCGCTGGTCAAAGTTGGCTTTGGATTTCTTTCATGCAACAGTTTTCACCGTCACTGGGTAATCGGTGAATCCAGCTGTTTTTTTTGGCGGAGTTGATAGAAACGGCAAGACCATGTTGATTGGCTGGACATGCTGTGTTGTTTTGCATGGATCATCCGAAAAGGTTCTGGAAAGGTTAAGAAGATGGTTGGGCCAAAAATGCACCAACTTAACTTGGCAGTTGAGCAAGTTCTGTTTGGCAAGTTTCGCATGTTCGGTGTTGGAGTGGAGCGTGGTTGGATTTCCACTTACGGGCCCATGAATGTTCACAACACATTGGCCAAATAAATCCGCCCCTTCAAAAAACAATCTTTTTGCCCAGCCGTCTGAATATAAAATTTCCACCCCTGTGGATTGCGGTTTCAACGCAGTAAGTCTTAGCAAGCAAGAACTCTTGCAACTTCCTTTCCAGTCAATCTGTTGCAAATGCAGACACAGCATTAGAAGTGTGGCTTCCACGTTCTTAAAGCCCAGCGTGCGTAAATCAAATACGCAGATTCAGGTTGCTGCTGCAAAGCATTTGCATTTTGACATCTCAACTTGTTGTCTGCATGTTGGCTGCAGGCCATTTTTGCTTAGCGAAGGATTTCGAAATGCATTAGCATCGTTTTGGCTGGGTAAGAGCCGCCCAAGGGGTGCTGAAGCCACAGAGCAGAGCAAGCTCCGGAGCTGGCGCCCTAAGCAAAGTTTTGCACATGTTTTCTTATGATTGAAACAACCGAAATTTGACAACAGATGATAATCTCCACGAGCCAGTCAGCAATGTTTCGTGAGCCCAAGCATGACCATCGATGGAGCATGCGAACTACTTCTCTTGCAGTTTCCCTTTCTCGCAATCAATTGTTTGCTAAGTCACGAAATTCTTGGCAAGATGTTTCAAGCATAAGATCGTGTTTTCAGCAACATCTTTGAGTGGTTGCTGTTTTGAGCAACCTACACGGTGCTTTTTGGTGTAGACTCCAATGCCAAAGACCTGCGTTCCTGTTGGTAGTTGCACGTTGAGCAAACAAACAAATAGCTCAGTTATTCTGGCGTCTTGTTTTGTTCAAACTTCAACCACAGGATCGTCGATTTGGGTTCGCGGGCAAAAGGGTGTGATCCTGGTCTGTCGAAAGAAAGGGATCTAGCGGAAGAGCCCTTGTTTGTTGTAGCCTGTTTCATCCAATGTCCGCAGCAACATGGCTCCGGACATTTTCGGGGGCAAACCGCCGTTGCGGTTGGTCCGCCTTGGCCTTTCTCCATCTGACGAGGCGGTCGCAAGACGGTAGGTGGTGTAAGTTTCGAAACTGCCATGCTGAAGGTACTGCAATGGCCAATATTCTCAAACTTGTCTCAAAGGTTGGTTCGACTGTGCATGTGTTGTCGAAGCTGGAGCAAGTTCACGGTTGAGATGCATGATGAAGAATGACGAACTTGTCAGGGCGACATACCTGGTCTTGAACAAGCTGTCCACGAAGGTGCTGAGGCAGGACAGATTTCGTCAATGCATGCTGGTCAGCTCAGACCTGACTGTGCCTGGAGGTGAATTTCTCGAACGATTCGACTAGTCCCTTGATAGCCGCTGTGCAGGCTGACAGACGTGTTGATGTGAATGCTGCTCGTGGTTTGCCGGAGCACAGTGCTGTACCCAGATAGAGGCCCAAAGTGCGGACATGGTGGAGCTTCTGCTGCGCTCACGCGCAGGCACATGCCCTGAGCCAGTTGGCGTTTTAGTCACGTAGTTCGCTGTCCGGCCCAGATGCGAACTTTTCAACCCTCGGAGCTGGGCTTAGCATATCTCCAGTGTTGCGGGTCTTTGTACTGCAGCATGCAACGTCTTGTCGAAAGGTAGGTACATGTTGACGCAGTTGAGAAACAACACATTAGCATGCCGAAACGGCATGGAGGGCGGCCTTTTCTCGACAAGCCTGCACCAGCAAACGAATACCACGTTCTCTGTCGTGCACAGGATCTCGCAGAGCGCTTAGTCTGAGTTGTCGGAAAGATCGTCCGAGCAAACTCAGCTCGAGGTTGATTTGGCTGCAACTGTACCGTATCATTTTTGGCATTGCGGCATTCCGCTAAAATCTGAAATGGTGGCATGGCGGTGGCGGATGAGGCTGTTAACGAATATGCGGAGATATGCCTAGATGGTCATCGGACAGATCCGCTTAACTTGTAGTGAAGCAAGCCCTTAAGCGGAAAGGAGCACCCAAAGGAGCACCCAAACGAGCAATGGCTGCTTCAATGGCAACAGCGTGGAAGTTACGTAGGGCGTCCAGTGGTGCTGTCATCAGTCTTCTCTCTCCAGGATCTTGAATCTTGAAGCAGGGCAGTTGGGATGGAAACTGAACACCGGGACAATGAGGGTGTAGCAGCTCAGGCTCCGAAGTGGCTCCACTGCACATGGCGGCCTTGCCGGCGCAAGATTCGGCTTGTGGGTAGCGGCGGTAGTGGTGCGAACTCAGCAGCCGACGACAGATGCCATGACAGGCCTTTGACGGCTCGGTGGAAATGATGAACCTTGGCTCAGCGTCAGGTGTCAGAGTTCTTTTTGTTTGGATTCTTGTTTTGTGTGCGGTGTCCGATGTTGTACGTTGCGCTGTTCCTTGTTGCTGCACTGTCCGGCCAGCTGAGGAAGCTTTTGCTCAGCAGGGGAGCTGATGTGAATGCACGGATCTCTGCAAAGCTATGTGACACCGCTGATGCTATGTGCCATGTAGAGGGGTTTTTGGAACTGAAGATCGTAATTGAGGTTCGTGATCGTCATGGTCAAACTCCGCTTTTCTTTGCGCCCTCGCCGGAAACTTGCGTCGAGCCTTTGGCTCAGACGTGTCTGGTCCAAGGCTCTTCATACAGAAGCCATCGCTTGTTTTCAACATGTAGGCTTGTGAGAGCTTCTTGCAGCATGTGATTACTGTCGACGGCATGGCCATCGCACTCCACCTATGTAGTGAACGGATCGTGGGTTTGCCGTTTGCCATCAGTGTCATGTGTTCCGAAATACTCTCACTTCGCTGCAGTCTCATGTTGATCGTGATGACAATTGGGAATGTTACCCCGAGCCGTGGCAACAGATAAAGCCAATGCTTTGCATTCGCGACGGGCACCGCTCCAACTACCACCCCTCAGCTCAGCGACCCGTCGTGGCTGAACAAAGTTGCAGCAACCTCTCGCCATCTTCGGCCTGGTCTGAAGTGCATGTTGCGGTTCCGGCGCTTGAAGGATGTTTCCAGCGAACTAGTTATGCCCGACTCATGCATGTAACTCATTCTCAGGCCCATGCCGAAACTGATAGCAGTGGCCCTTCACCTCGTTGGTCCCGCCTGCCGTTTCAATGCTGAGCTCCACCGCTGTGGCTTTCGACCGGACGATGTGCCGACCTTCTACGACGCAAGCCATCGTGTGCCCAAGTTGTCGCCTCTCAGCTCCTAGTCCTACTGTGGAAATGGCTACGGGTCCCCCCGGGTGCCCATGCGCCGACGCCCAGACTCGAAGGTCATCCGTGTCTGTAACGGCAAGTCAAGTCCAGGCGAGCTGGCATCCAAACATCGCGTGGGAAGACACAGGTTACCGTTGTACCGCGTTGGTGGCCGTTCGTAAATTATGATGATCCACAATGCTCAAAGCGCGACGGCCCTTCAAGAGCGGAGCTGGTCAAGGCGTGCCGCAGCACAACGGCCAAAGCTGCCCGTGGCCCTCTTTCATGGCCGAGTGCGAGGAGCCGCTGCGGGCAGACCGCATTCGGCTGAGGAACGCGGTTCGGTTGCGCTGCCCAGCGAACCGCAGGATGGCAGCGTGGTCGGGCGCCAGTGCCAGGTTGCGGCTGACCCGTTCGAGTCGGCAGCGACACTTGGACTGGGATGGCCTTACAGCACAGCGCTCCTCCCAGATGCACCAGGTCAAGGCGGCGCCTGTCGGCGACGGGCTGTGATGTTGGAGAGCCATTGTTGCGGGTCACCCACGCCCGTTCGTCATTATTACGCACCGCGCAGCTGCCAGTCCTGGTCCCAGATCGCGGATGCTTGCCTCGGCAAGAAGCTGGGGAGCACTCGCCGAGGACAGGGACCACATCAGCCAGCCCATGCCGCCGCGGTATAAAGAGAGTTCTGGTCAGACCCAAACCGCGAAACACCGGTATAGGAGAGGTGCCAAAGTCCGTCCGTGCATAATCCGCCTCGCCGAGAGCGACTCCGCTGCTTGCCACATCCAGCAGCGGGACCGCGCGCAGCGCGTGCTTGGCCCAGTATGTAAGCACGAAGCTTGCGGGCTGGCTGGCTGGTTTCGGAGCAGAATGTTCAAGTGCGGCTCTCGCATGCCAAAAAATTTTGCCGCGCCGCGTCGATTCACATTCGCATCCTGCAAGACTGTCGCGACAGCACCCGGGGCCGTGCTTTGCCCGGCTGGTAGTCTGCAATGTTGGACGGCGCTGCAATGCGCGGTCGGGTCCAGTATGCGGATGGTTCTGTTCCTAAGAGTGAGTTCCTCAATAATGAATTTGGCAGCGTCGGATCCAAGAAGCTAGCCAAGAGCTGGGTAGCAAGAACCGAGATGGAGATCCGCACAGCAGCGAGCTCTAGCAGCTCCCGCTTCGACGCTTGTGTAAAGTTCAAACGGTAGCGAGAAGTTCAACTGTTGGCGAACTGAAAGTGGAAGGGTCATAGTTCTGGAGTTATGCTAAAATGGGCTGTGTAAGTCTGTTCAGTGCTCCAGCAAGAGCATGGATGGAGAACCAGACATCTTAGATTGAAGGCGAAATCCGGCCGCGAGAAACTGGAAAATGAAGCTTTTGAGATGCGTCATTTGGCAGGGAAGTACATGCTTGCTGACATTGCAACCAAATCCTTGCAGGGGCAAAGGCACCGTGAACTTTTGAACCTTCTGTAAATGAGGGATCCCGCAAGCTTCGCTTCACCCTTGGGAGCTTGCAAACTGCTGGCGAAGGCTTGCCTTCTCACTCAAATTCCTCGTGAAAGCTGCGTAAAGCCATGGGGGTGAAGATGTTGGTGTCCACGGTGTTGCTTGCTACTGTGGCGGCTAGACTTGTCATGACCGTGAAAAGCACAGGCGTGTTGAAGGGCCCGAGGATCCATCAGAAGTGGTTTTTGAGAGGCTTCGTGCTGAGGCCAGTCAAAAGATGATCAATAGTCAAAGGCGTGAAATGCTGATGGCGGTCAAGACGAGCCCGAAGAAGTAGAGTTCCCTAAAAAGTTTGAAATCAGGACCCTTGGCCCTAACCTCACCCGTCGGCGCACCTTAACACCCACGGCGGAGGTTGGAGGTGGAACTAGAGTTGTGAACGGGAGCTCTGGCCTGCGAGAACCGTTGGTTAAGTGTTGGTTAGCTCACGAACACTTGGGCTGGCGAGAACCGGTAGCTCACGGACGCTCTGGTTTTTTTTACGCACACGTTTTGCGAGCAGTACAACGCGATCCCAGTGCACCGGCAGTGTACGTGACGGCAGCAGCCTGGGGCCTCTGACGGGAGCCGGCTGGCTGCAGGGGCGTGCAGCCAGTTTTCTGGCTTGCGAGTGCCTTCGCAGGTCGATCAGCCGCAGCACGTGCTGAGGTGCACAGCGCCAGGTCCCGCCACCCGCGTCTCACCGTGCTGCAGCTCCGCCAAGGATGTCAAGCAGAGGGCTGGGGTGGGGTGGTTGCCGTCCTTCAGGAAAGTGAGGGGAACGGCTGCTTGTCGGGGGGGTGCAGCTGGCGGGGAAGCGGCCAGGCATAACCGCGGCCGCGTGCTCGCACTTCGGACCAGCCGCTCGCGCCCTGGGACGCCGCGGTGTTCGATCCCAGATCTCCGGGGCTTGCTGCCTGGAGGATCCATTTTCGCATCGCCTTGGCTGCCCGCAGTTTTCAGCGGAGCTTTCGGAAGGCTGTGGAGGGAGGTCGAAGAAGGGCGACGACTGGAGTCGTGGGCAGGCTTGGCATTCGCCACCTCCGTCCAAAAGAGCACGAAAAGGCCTCGACTTTGGCCCAGGACAGCTTATTAAGGCACCCGACCCACGGCCAAACAAACATGATCCAAGCGGCGGCGCACCCAGGATCCCGAAACAGGGGGCCTTGCTTGAGCCAAAACTACGGTTCCAGCTTCATCGGTTGATGGGGGTTTCGGTATTTTCGGTATCTTCTGCTTCAAAAGGTTTATGTTCAGGATTTGTTGAGCGGCTTTTGGATACAGAAGGTACGTCTTACGTGCGGTGTCTCGAAGAAACGGAACCGAACCAGAGTCGCCCAATCCTGGACAGTTGAACAAAGCACAGGCTCTTACCGGAGCCCTACAATGGATCACCACCAGATCTAGGCCCAACATTTGTTTTGCCGTGCACAAAACCGCCCAATTGACAGGTTTCCTTCCTATGCGATTAGGACGCCTAAAACATCGTAAAGTATCCCAGGGCCACTCCTAAGTTGGGTTTGGCCTTCAGCTTTTTGGATGATCCAACATGCTCTGGAAAACTGCGAGGAACTGAGCTATGAAGGCATATATGAAACTGACCGGTCACGATCGATAATCTGCGTGTTATTTTGCGTTATTTTCCTTCATTAGCCAACGGTACGCTCAAACCAGAGCTTCTGTGATCCTCGTGCTGTCAAAGCCATTTCAGCTGGTGAGCTAAGGCTAAGATCGGCGGCCGGAGGCAACTCGAGCAAGGAAACAGCGAAGGCTCGTTGTGCGGCGACTGCGAGGAAGCCGGACCATCGCGCCACCCAGGCGGCAGTTATTCGGCGCCAGCGCAGATTGGGTGCTGCGAAAGGTTCACCGCCAAGGGCGAGGCTGCAGAGGGGTCACTGAATAAGGCCCGGAGTGTCCGAGTCCACACCGCCGGTGCAGCGGCAGCCAGGGAAACGCCGGCGGCGACCCTCGAAGACTCGCGTTGGCGAAGCAGGAGATTGCGTCAGCCACGCCCGTTAATCAGCTGCTTCGCCGAAGTGCCTTCGCCCCTGTGGCGACCTTCGTATCGCAGCCTGAGTATATACACAATGTATGTGGAGCCTCTGCGTTCACACGGAGCTTGCGCGAGGCTGGGCAGCACTGGGTGCGCTCACAGCCTTAGCCCAGCGGCAAAATTCTGCAGTGGAGAAGCCGCGTGGCCTGAATGCAAGCACGGTTCGTAATGCTGGGGAAAGCCGGGACTCGGGCTGAAACCACACGACCGCCGTCGCGGCAGTTGGAGAGGCACCAGCTCGGTCTCCGATTGCACGAGCACTAAACACCGTCAGCTACTGTGGTGGCGGACTGCGGCGGAGCAAGCCAGCAGTGGTTACATTTGGTCTGCACTGGGACCGAGAACACCCTCAACCCTTGCAGTCGTACAAAGGCGGGAAATCGTGAAGTGGCCGTGCGCTTCCTCCTCCTTCGGCAGCCGCCGACCAGCGCGACTTGAGTTGTGACGGTGTTTGGATGACAACCTCCCAAACACAGCACATGAGTCGGCGGGGTTTTGAGCTCGTGTCCTGCACTATCTCGTGGCGCCGCTATGCCGCTGGCACAGCACCAGCCGCAAAACCTGCAACCAAGACACGACACGCCGCCTTTCCAGCCATTTGCCTCGATGCCGCCATGCCGGAGGCCATGGGTTCCGGATCTGGCGTCATCCATCCCAAGTGTCAGCGCCGCCGCCTGCACCTCACCTGCCTCGCGCAACAGCTTTCCCAAACCGTTCCCCGCACAACATGAAAGTGCCGGTCTGCGCCGCTGCGGTTTGCCGCTGGCCAACGATGAGTGGCTGCGCACGGGATGCACGGGGGAACACAGGCGCCCGCACGGCTTCCCGCCCTTCCACACAGTGCGGCATGCGGTCGAGGACTCCGGCGAGTGCTGCCCGAACTGCAGTAACCCAAAAGCGTGGGAGTTTGACGTCGGACGAGGCAGCCGCCTGTGCGATCGCCAATGCGGCTGCCGGTGCCTCCTGCCCGCACAACCCTGTCCCAGCGTAAGAGGCGACTGCCAAAGACCCTGGTCTGCACAGCAACGCCCCAGCGTCAGCTTGGGGCCCGCCCTCCGACTGCCACGCGCTCGGCGCGAAAAGAGCGTTGGCGCCGCAATCCGCGCGGGCAGCCTTGGTGGGACGCAGCACGCCGCACCCTTGCGCCATTTTTCGCTGTCTCTGTGAGCGTTACCGCGAGCTGTGCCCTACTCCCTGAGGCCGCTTTGCGTGAGGCATCGGTCTTGCCTGCAGGTGTCGCATGCCCACATCAGACGTGCTTGCCTCCCAAGCATCACTCCTCGCAGGAGCCGGGGCGCATGTCGGGCGCAACGTCGCGCTGGCCGCCATGAACCTTGCCGGTCCACGATGTGCGGCGCATCGAGGTCGTCTGCAACGGCCTGCCGCTTTGGCACGGCGCGCAATTTGCCGTTGACGCCACGCTCGTCAGCTCGGTGACCCGACATGGCCGCCCACATGACGGAGCTGATCACCACCCGGGTTGGGCCGTCCGCAATGCGCGGCGACGGCAGACGTACCTTGAGAGTGTCGCCCCGTCGTTTTCGGATTCGCCTCTGCCCGGGAGCGTGCAGCAAGTGCCCCTGCTGCAGTCCGCATCTCGGCCTAGGCCGCCTGCGTTCTGCGCTCGAGTGGCCTTATCTCCGTTACGGCGCAGCGTGCATTTCCCGCCACAGCTCTGCACGAGCTCCTTGCAGACGGTCGCTGGCAAGAGGCTCTTGAGCCCAGCCGCCTCCCTGCGCATGCTTCAAGCTCGACCTAAATGACCTAGACCTCCTTAAGTCGCAGTTGCAAAAAGTGCGTGTGAAAAGGAAGGGGCAAATAGTGCCGCAACAATGGCTTGGGCACACTATACAGCACCAGGAGTGCGTGTGGAAGACCAACGCCGCTCGTGGGTCAACCCGGCGGCAGCTGGAGATGGAAACGTGGATTGGGGCCGGTTGTGACAGTATGGCTTACTGCTTATGGCAGCCTAGAAGCTCCACAACCCAAAACTTGGAGGAGGGTCGTGGCTAATCTGCCCGGTGCAGCTGTATAGGAGCCTAGGGGTTTCAGCACGCGCCAGAAGCTGCCGAAAGCCACTGCGAACTACCGAAACTTTAAGCTTCAAGCCTTCGTACACCCAAAGCCTGGAGCCAACATGGCAGATTGCCTTGGTCTTTTGGGAATCAATTTGTGCAGTTGCGAGTTGAGGGGTGGTACTTGGAACACGTTCAGTCCAGTTTTCACGCAGCATCATTCAAGCATTGCTCCAGCACCATAATGTATCCGTAATCACCAGCACGAGTCTTTTGGTGGCATCTGCCGCCGTAAACTTCTATCACTGTCGTCACTCAGGATTCGGGAACAATAACTTATGTGAACTAGCGAAAGAGAGAAACAAGAACTTGGAACGTACCGTGGGCATATACAGCTACATGCAAAATGCCCTGCGTGCACGGCCTTTGTTACAGCATCTACTTAGTCATCGCTGCTTGCTGTGGTTGCCTGAGGTTAAGCAAAGCCAGCGCAAACATCAATGCTCTCAACAAGAAAGGCGCCGTGCTTGCATGACAACGTGTTCCGCCTGTGCATTTTGAGCCGTTGCTTGACCAGGCCAATCTGCCATTCACACTGCGGCACATGCTGGGTTGGATGAAGTCGCAAAATGGCTGACAGACCATGTGGGGCCCTGAGTCGGCGACAGGCATATGAAGCAGCAGGAGCAACAACAACATGTGAGCAATCGCACTTATGCACGCAAGCCCCGCTATTTCTATGCCCAGAGGTCCTCTACTAGCGTACCTAGATAGGCTCCGGACATTAAGCGAGATCAATGGTTTGCAACAGCTGTAGAACAGCGGGTCGATGTAAAGAAGCGCGGCCTTCTGCGGACGAGGTGTAGACGTATTTTTTTTGAGTTCGTTAGCAGAAACCGGAGTTCATTGTGTTATTGGTGTGTATAAGTATGTAAGGCTAAGGTCTTGCTTGTATCATTCGAATGATAGAAATATTCACCGGGCCCCGAACGAGATCCAAACGCGACCTACACGTGATCCAGGTTGTATGGTTCGTCGGGGTTGAAAAACACAGGCCCGTTCTGGCATGGGGACCATTTACCTGACCTCAATTTTTTACACGGAAGGACGCAACGTTTCTTAAACAAACAAAGTACTAGCTGTAGAGCCTAAGCCCTGCATCTTCAGATTGCCGGGCCTCCGCGATTCCACCCCATAGCTGCCAACATTTCAACGTGCTGTTCTTCATCAGTATTAATCTATATGATCAGCCTGCAAGACCATGATGGCAGGATGGAGTGATTGTGAGGTAAACGAGATGAGGGTCCGAATATTAAAATAGCAGCTTGAACCGATAATGAATCAGAACCGCCGCTGTTTGGAATGTGAGGCCAATCCTGGGCTCATCAACGTCCAGGATCGTGGAGTTGGCAATGGCTTGTGCAGCTGATTGCCAACGGCTTTGTCCTGGGCAGGATAAACATGGTCGAACGGCGTGGTACTGTGCCACGAGGGTGCGGTTCAACAATCAAACTACCACACACCCGCTGGTTTCTCATATCGCCATACTCACGTGTGTGCAGGCCGGCGATGTGAAGACTTTGACAGTCTTAAAGGACTCCGAAGTGCAGTTTGCTAGGTGCCAACAAAATCGTGATATGATATGTGTTGTGATTGTTTTCGAAGCATGCCAAGTCAGAGGAGAAAGGCCCAGTCACGAAGCTGAAGCCGCATCTCTCCCAGCGTTGTTTCAGTTTGGACTGGCAGCATCGATTGTTGCGGGTGACCTTTCCGATCCCGTGGCTCTTCAGTCCAGCCGCATCTGGTTACAGGTTTCTAAGCACATGTCATGTTCAGACATGATCGCATCCTCAGACCAGGCACAAGAAGTGGCAAGTGACTCCGCCACCACCCAAGCCGTCGACCAAGTGGCATGGGAAACTAGTTGGGGTACACTGCGCCGAAGTCAAGCGGTAGCTTCGTTGTGCGAGGCCACAGCCTCTGGTCGATCCCAACCCTGTCATTGTCAGCAGGCCAGCACTCGTAGCACTTCCGGTGTCACGCGCTTTTGGTAGCTCGTTTGTCCTTCTTGGGAATGCACGGCGATGCTACGGGGACCTTGTCGTATTGGTCTCTGTGCTCCGTATATCTCCGTATTAGGGCCTTTGGCGGAGTTCTTCATTGCATATCCTTCTGGCGGGGACTTCTTGCCGAGCATACACCTGCTTTGTCCATGGGCACTCTGACGACGATAAGGCATGGATTCGTCGGTTGGAAGCTGGAGGTCATGTGTTGTGATGCAGCTTATGCCCGCGAACACGAGCTTCACAGTCTTTCCTACTTGTGCGGTACGGTTTGATTCCAGAGGCTCTGGGTCACCTGTGAGTTTTCTGGGGGTCGTAGAACGAGGCTTCTTCCCCTCTTGCAGTTGTATAGCCTGATTGTCCTTAGCGGCTTTGGTGGAGTCGCTACAGTGCGGGTACGTAGGGTGATTTTGCGCCTTCATCCAAGACTTGTCCGTCCTTCTCTAAGTTCCGGTTTGGTTGGGTTCGGTTCAGTTCGGTTAAACCGGTATGAACCGGATGGCGGTTCTGAGCGGTTCGATTCCTGTGCGGTTCGCTTCGCGGTTCCTACCGGTTCCGCGGTTCATGCTGGCCCGGGGACGCGGGGAAGGACAGGTTTTGGAACACTTGGGGCTTGAAAGTGCTGAAAACCTGTATTCCCCCGTGCGCCCCCGGCAATGCAGGGGAATACAGATCATGTGCTGTCTTTGGACAGGGTTGGGAGCTGGGGATGCTGGGCCGGAGTAATTACAGGGTTTGGAACAGTTGGGGAATGAAACCTGTACTCGCCCTCGTGCCCCGGGCAATCGGAATACAGAACAAATGGAGGGGACGGTTCGGTTCACGGGGCGGCTCCTAGCGGTTCGCTGCAACGGTTCGGTTCGGTTCAAGGCGGTTCGGTTCGTGGCGTTTCGGTTCCTGCGGTTCGGTTCGGTTCCAGAACCATGCATGCGAAGGGTGATGTCATGTGCTAGTATTCGCACATGTTGTTGTCGACAGGCCGCCAGAGGTGGAAGAGACCAAACCGGCAAGAGCTGGAGACTCTCAGGGTTTGCTTGTGTAGGGTTCCTGCAGTCTCGCCTGCTTCCGGGCCGGTTGTTCGTTTCAGGCTGTTTGTGTCAATATTGCTACAGCTCAGGTCGCGAAACAGCTTTCGGTCCAAGTGGACAAGGCTGTGTTGCTGGGTGTGTGAGGATGACAAACATTGAGCTGATGTGCAGATCAATCGTGTCGAGTTGTGAAGGGATTTTAGGTGCTCCCATAGATTTGCCCCTAGTTATTCTTCCATGCGACTCAACAGAGATTTCACATCCAAAATGTTCTTGCTGCTGCCCGTTGCCACTGTTTGAAGGAGCCTTTGGTGGGCTCCTTTGAGGTGGCCGCCGTCTCAGATGCGAAACCTGGAGCTTGGCTACGTGGTTGTGCGGCTGAATGGATCTGAATTTGGCAGCCTTCTGCAAGCGGCTTCGTTGCCGAGTGCTCGCGCAGCAGGTTTCACCCAAGAGAACTGCTGACGAACTCCGCCACTTGTCCGACGAGGGCCAGGACGGCCAGGCGAGCTCTGCGAACCTTGAGTTTCACGCGCAAAAGTCTTCTTGACCACATGGCTTCTGGGCATGTCTGAGCTCTCAAAAGCTGTTGATGCAGGCGGATGTGGATGTTCTGGCCAAGCGCTTACAGAATTAGGCTGCAACGTGGGTTCTTCCATTTCTATCCAGTACGGCGTACCGAGTAGGTCAGGAATGGCTCCTTGGCTGATTGTTGCAGCCTGTTTCGCAAAGGCTGTTCTACAAGACAATCTGGCAGAGGATCTCTTTGTGCCGGAAGCTGGTTAAAGCCATCGCAACAACTGCATGTTAACGCTTTGTCAATTCCAGCAGAAATTGCAGTCGAGCAAAGAGCTGTAATCCTGCTGTAAATGTAACGACCCGAAGGTTCAGAGGGCTTCATAACGATTGCTCCGGGGCCGATACCAAATTTGCTGCGCTGTGGGTTGCTGGGCCTTCATGAGACATGTTCCGGCCCTTCCCATCACGGAACTCCGCTTGATCTTTTGGTTTATGCCTTGTTGGACATTCCTGGGCGTGGCGAACGCACTTCGATTGAACTAGATTCCAAGTCTTGACCGTAGGTGGAACGCACCTTCACCTTCACAGATGCGACTGGTGAGAACTCTTCGATTTTTTCCTCCGAGGGCACGATTCTTCAAGAGCACTGTGTGCTTTTGCATCTGCGCTGGAGGAGCGTGGCACACAGCAGCTGCTGGAAGATGCAGAGGTTCGACTTTTGTGCTTCCCGCTTTTGCCCGCTTTTGCTTCGGGGTTGGGGCCGTCGATGTTGGTATCTGAACGGAGTAGATCCGAGTCCCACACGCCTTAAACTCAAACATCAGCCGCAGCTCGAGCTCGGCCTTGACAGGGCGAAGACAATTTGTTCAAACAAGAAACCTTGCACACTGCACATGCTGAGGAAAGAAAATCTAAGGGCTGACTCGCTTCTCAAATGCCTTCCCTGAGCATGTTGCTGGTGTTCGGTCACTTGACCTATGTTCAAAAGCGAGGGAAGCCCGCTTGCAGGGTACGAACTTTCCGTCACTCTGCATAGATTTTCCGTGATGCTTCTCTTGCACAAGTTATATTGATTCTTCTGTTTTTGACTACGTGTGCTGTGAGTTGTTCATCGAATCCTGCTAGACTGCTAGAAGTATGAGTGACTTGCTTTCCGGAGGGCATGCAAACAACGGATCGAACGGCTACGCCACTCGTGTTCGTAGCTGCACTTGCGACTGGTTTGTGAGATGAGGCAACTGGAACAAGCACGGGTGTGAACCAGTAGCCAGGAAATACTCGGAATCAGTTGTTGATGTGTTGCTCGGTGAGTGCGAGAATCAAAACGGCTCTAGTCTAGGGAGTGTTATTTGAGATGAGCTTCGGCGTGAATCCTGTGGAGGCTCTTTTCCAGGAGGCCGAGGCAGTCCTGCTTTTCTAGCTATTCAGTGGTTGCGGCAGGGGAGCCGCGTGTGACTCTTGTGTACTTGGTTTGCAGGGCCAGCCTGGCAATGATCATGAAATCGAAAGTCTTGGCCTCGAGTTTGCCGCATCCGGGATAGCTTTGGGTCTGCTATTCAGTTTGCTGCCGGGTGCGCCTGTTTACAGCGTGTTTCACGTGATGCTTGGCTCAGAGGCCGAAGGAGCAGCATGCAGTCCTATGGTGCGAGCCGAAGACATACATGTGTAGGTGCGCATGAGATGCGGTCCACATATTAGGCTCAGCTAGCTTGGGATCTGCAGCGCTGGGAAGCTTCCGAATGCGTAGCGATGTGTAGCGTGGCCATGGTGGAAGCCTCTGCCGGAGCCTCAAAGTATCCCAGCCAGAGGCACACAGGGTTGCCTTGTCCTGTCTGGGGTCAAACCCTCCACTAGAATCACTAGAATTGTCTCTGTCCGCCAACTCTTGCCGGCCTCACTTGGCTGAAAGCTGTAGGAGGAGTACATCAAGTCAAGCATGATACGTCCAACTTGTTCTCGATTGTTGGTGAAGGTTGATGTTAGGGCTTTGGGAGATTGTAGGCTGCATGAATGAGAGTGGCCTTTGATGTGTCGACCGACATCCACAATCCAGACAAAGCTTGGATTTCGTCGTTTGTTTACATTTCGTGACTTGTCCGAGCGATGGCAGAGCCAGATGAGAGTGAGTCGTGCTACGAGATCCTTGGTGTGGACCCTGGGGCATCGTCCTCGGAGATCCGGCAGGTGCGTCTGCGAAGCGGGAGCTTTCGCCGAGTTGTGATGGGACGTAGTGCAGGCATATCGAAAGTTGGCGCTGGCCAAGCATCCAGATCGGGGGGGCGATCCCGAAGAGTTCGCCAGGCTCAGCAAGGCCTACGAGGCTCGTGGGCACAGGTCAGGTGGGCAGTTTGAGCTGGGTTCTACTCGGGAGCCAAGCCATGCCTGGAGGTCCTGTCGAATGCCAAGTCGCGAGCCAACTACGACAAAACTGGGCGAACTTCAAAGCTGACGGCGGAAGAGGAATTCATAGAGGAATCTCAGCAGCCATCGATTTGGCAGACATGGTGCAACACGCACGCCCGTTCATGTGAAGCTAGGTTACTTCTTCTGCACCATTATTCCGTGAGAGCCGCTTCGTTTCTTCGAGATATTAGCCCGGGCAGAGAATCGGAGATGGCTCTGAGGATGTTTGAGTTTGTGTTTGTTTCTGTTTGCATGTCCTTGGCTTTGGACTTTGCTGTAGCTTCCGATGAAATACAATGGCAGTCTGGACATTGTCTGAACACGATGCAGCCCTTGACAAATTTCGGGGTAAGCTACCAAGGTGAAGACTGCGTGCATGTCCCTTTGAAGCATCAGCTCGCCTGCGGAAAGTTAGGCGCCTCTCTGAGGCCTTCCGCAGCTCCGCTGCGGAGGCTGCCCCGCGTGAGTCCGCCCGCCCGCCGGCCCCGGCCCCGCCTGCCCGGAGGCCGTGTGTGCTTGGCAGTGCGTTTTTGGTCATGTGGGCATGCTTTTGGCATGGAGCAGGCCGCGGCCAGAGAATCAGCACCGCAGTGGTGGAGTACACAGCTTCTCTGCCAATGTGGGGTCGCGATCGCAAGCGACGCTTGGGAGTGATTGAGAGTGGTGGGGCCTCCTTCAGTGTGTTTGTATATAGGATTCCGGAGACGGATGTGGTATGGAGTCGTTGTAGCTGGGACACAGAGCTGGGGACTTCCTTGCCAGGAAAGACACGGGCGTGATCGGACCAGACGCCTTGGCAAGCGCAGTTCATGGCGCCAGCTTCACTCCCGGTGCACGAGTGCGTGTCGTCGGACTGGAGAAGCAACAAACCTTGAACTCAGCCACGGGCACCTTGGTGAAGCTTCACAACGATCGATGGCAGGTTCGCCTGGATGGTGATTTGGGCGACAAGCTTCTAAAGGCCAAGAATCTAATGCTGGAAGAGAACCGAGACATTCCAGAATCCAAGCCGAAGGAGAAACCGAGTGGACCGAGTCAGAGTGGATACCCCACTCGGGTCGGCTTAGAGGAGTCCGAGCGACGCGAGCGACGCTCCTTCAACCGGCCAAGCCCAGATTTTCTTCGGGTGGATTCGGGAATGGCCATCGACATTGCGGGCAGCTGGAGCAGCTGGAGGCCACAAAGGATGACGCTGGAACCGCAGCGGAGGTGCCACAAATTTCAAGTTCAGTTGCCTTCAAGCTCCAGCGAAAGCTTTCAGCTCTTCGTTCCGGGTGATGGGCTTGGGCGTTGCATTCATCCCGACCGGGCTGATGCACATCCCCACGAGTTCCATCGCCTAACTGGCCCGGATGACAACAGCAAAGGGTACAGCTGGACCATCGGAAAGCATCCTAACGACAAGGCGGTCGCGGGAGCCCGCTATGAGGTCATCCTCATATATGCTGCAAATGGCAAGCCGGATCGAGTGGATTGGGTCCACCTGAACCCGCGGACCGCGACTGCGCCCAAGGCGTCCTTCCCAGCTCGTTCGGGCAGCAATGCAAACAAGGCATATGGAGGAATGACCGTGGCCGCTTTTTTGCAAGCTGCCAAACCAGATTGGTCGGCCAAGGAGGTTACATCTGTCTGTGAGAAGCTGTCCAAGATCACTGTTGTGGATATGCCCAGCTTGTTGCGCGCGCTGCAGTCCGAGGGCTCATCCGGTATCAACCAGAGGCTCAAGACTGCAGGTGAGAAGGCATTCACGGACCAGACGGCACGAGCACTCCGACAGCATGCTAGGAAGGTGTCTGACGACGAGACCGCGCGGGTCGCACGTGCCAGTGCGCCGCCGGAGCGTGCAGCCCCATCGCCACAGACCTCAGCCAGCCTGCCGCCATTGCCCACACAGGAGTACCGTGTGGTTCACGAGTTTGCATACGTGCGGCAGGACCCTTCCCTGCACTCGCCGCTCTGTGGCAAGAAGGACCAAGGTGAGACGGTACACGCCTGCGAAGAAACATTCGATGGCTGGATAAAGCTCTATGGGCAGCCGGGATACATAATCAAGGACATGGGCGGCAAGCAAGGAATCGGAAAGATCCTCAGCGCTGTCGGCAAGCCGCCGAGCTTGGTACTGCCTGAACAGCAAGCGACGTCAACGCCGCTGGTCTTTGAAGTCGTCTACAAGCCGCTGGTGGCAGTGCGCACTGCCCCATCCAAGAGTCGGCCGATTCAGGCCGGAAAGCATTGCCATTGCCATGTGGTTATGGGCTTACTTCTGGGTACTGGGTGGTCCTGTATGGTACCGTTCCCTTCTGCTGGGTTTCAATATGCGTTTGCTGGGCAGGGGACGCGCAAGCTTGGCGAGCAGGTGCGGGCCGATGCTCAAGGTCTGCCGAGCCAACAGAGTAAAAGAAACTTCTGGCATAATATGCAAGGGAGGAACATGGGGGATGACTTGTGCCCGTCGTAGGCTACGGCGGATGGATCAAGGTTTGCGCCGAGGATGGAGGTGGTTGGATGCTGTGCCTCGGACGAGACTAGATCGCTTTTTTGTTGGTGCCGGAGGCCTCCGTTTGTTTGCATCTCAAGGACCGCCGATCCTGACCTGGGGCAACTCTTAACTTGCAAGATGCTTGAACAGCGGCAGCAGCAGGCCAGGACCGCAACGACCGAACACGTGCCCCAGAATTCCGCCCTTCAGATTCTTTTCTGCAGGTCAAAGCGCTGCACCGGGCTTCAGCAGCAGGCGATGCCGCTGCGCTCGGCGATGCGCTGCATGTCGCGAAGAGGCGGCGGCTTTGCACAGTGTCTTGCCGTGAGGGACCCCGGCTTTGGCAAAGCACCGCTGCAGCACTTGGCCCTGAGGGCCGGCCTCGGCGGGGAGGCGATTTCCAGCGCCGAGCGGGAGCTGCGAGAACTCCGCGAGCGGGAGGCGGCCACCGGCGGCCTGGGCCTGGCCGCGTTGTCTCAGTGCACACTTCGGGGGCCTGTGGCAGGCGGTGCGCAAAGACTTACTTCAGCGGGCCTCTACCGCTAAAACTGCACCTCAACCAGCATGTGCTTTTAGACTGCAGCTGATCATGTCGTAAAGTTGCAAAGACTTTCCGGGGCTGAGGATGGAAAAGATACAAAACTCCGGAACTGCATCGAAGAAGCCGACCAGATGGGCTTTGCTCAGGCACCCATTGCCGCTGCTTTTGTGTCGTTTGCTGTCAAGCTTAGATTGCATGTGCCAGGAGAAAAGAGCTATGCAAGAAGCTTTGGATAACCTGCTTGTGACCAAAGCCGAGACCCAGAAAGAGCACGACGTCCTCCTGGACAATTTGGCTGCTGCAGCGGCTAGTGGAGATGTTGCACAAATCAAGGTTGCGCGGAACGCTGCCAAGGAGGGCGGTGTTCCCATGAAGGAGATTGCTCGTGTCTTTGCCTTGCACAATAACCAGGCAGGCGCTTGAGGAATCCGGCCGGCTTGCAAGAACTTTTTAGCAGCTTTGCCTCGGATGGTTGAAAACACCCAGGCGCACGTTAAATCTCCCAACCGGCAAAAGGGCTTGGTTGAACGGAGGTTGTTTTCGCGGTTTTGGCAGGTCATTCCTAGGTTTGAGTTGGAGGTAGCGGAAGTATGGCGTCTCGACCGACTGCCGTCGCGGTCGTAGGGTCCGGGGCAGGGCGAAGAGACACGACGCTGGACAGGACACAAAAAGCTTGCTCGACCTAGGCCGCACATAAAGGTGACCCGGTGACCCTGCACTGCTGCTGCTGCTGCTGCTGCTACTGCTGTGGTGCTGCCATCGGACGGCCCGTCTTCACACAGCAGCCATGGCTGCTTGGGCCGGTGCCCGGCCTCCACAGGGCTTCCCCTGCACATGATTCTGCTGATTGATTCTGACTGATGGTTCTGCTGTTGTTCCGGATGTCCCGTTGCCCCTCTTCCAACTGCGGTACTGCGGCTGCTGCCACTCCGTCTTCGTCAGAGCCGACGGCGATTTGACGACGACGACGCCTGCTGCTCCTGCTGCTCTACTTCCTTCGGCTATGATTTTGCGGTTGTCATTGCTGCGACTAGGACTCTGTGAGCCTAGCGTCATCGGTCGCCTCCAGAATCTTTGAGGCCTGC